CATAGTTAAGATGTGGCTAAAGAAACAACATACTCGTTGGGTAATTGCAGCTTCTTCGCACTCTGCTGTTTGTTGATCTGATTATTCACGGTTGACATGGTGCAAAACATCGTTGCTAGTAAACGTCACAGCGAACTAGTGATTTTCTCAATGATTTCGAACGACTGATGGTTCCTATTCTTTTTCACTTGCTTTATATACCCGCTTGTTGCACACAAAATTGATTAAAACTATCGATGGTTCTATATTTGTATTAACAATCCTTATCACACCCTCCTAAGAAAACGGCGCTCAAATGCTGCCTCTTGTTCTAAAATACAGCGATGACGCAATCCGTAAATCTGCACGAACCTGCATACTATAAACATAATGATTCTGACAACATGGCGCTCTACTTTAATGCGTAGAAAAAAAACCTGCACCAATAAACAGTTCTCTTTCCAATAAACAATCCTTATCTTTTCCGGGAATCCTTATCTTGCGATTTGTATTAACAATCCTTATCTTCCGGGAATTATTGTAATCTGATACCCCCACCACTCCACATTTACTCCCTCTCCTCCAAAAACGAAGACGTCATTACCCCCTCCACTGTTATCCGATACCCCTCTTCCCCTCTTCACCCGCGCACCCCCTCAGATCCCTGAGTTAGAACCCCTATAGTATAACTACTAATATTATATAATATATATAATTAGTTGTTAGTTTCTTACTATATGTAGTGTTTTTCTAAGAAACATGTGAGAAATCGTGCTGTAAACATTGAAAAACATTGAAGTCTTCCCATGTATTTTTTTATAAAAAAATAAATAAATATATTTTACATTAAACAAATCAAAGTATAAATTAATTTATATACAAAGCTGTGTATATATGTATACGTGCATATACATGATATACCGTAACCGTTCTATATGCATACTGCGGGATATTCACAGTACGTACTAAGAACCAAGTTACGCGAGACATAGGAACTTACTGAGTATGTACTGCAGGATATCGTAGTACGTATATCGAATATTCTAAGAATATACGCAATATACTTTTGTGATATTCTCCGAATATTCTCAGAATCTACCTGTGCTGTCTGGGTGGTGATTTAATTCTAACCGATGTTGTGAGATAACTAAAGGAGAAGTGCTTTTTTTAATGTCGTTTTTATGCTCTTTGATCCTAGTTTCCAACTTTCTCTTTGTCTGGCCTATGTATGTTGCGTCGCACACACATTTGGCACAAGTTATTGAAAGTTCTCCGAATAGTTTTAACCGACGACAAACGGCACGAAACGGCTGGACAAAAATCCGTCTAGTTCTTTAAGAAATAACTTGTAACGGTCGGAGCA